TGTTAAGAGTGGTGCGCAAATCAGAGTTCAGGTAAAATCAGTTAAAAGACATAAAGTAGACAACGGTAGTAGAAAGCGAAGATTCCCTGCTTCTACAAACAAAGAAAAAGAAAATACAGATCCTCAAACAATTCCAGCACGAAAAAAGAAAAAATAGGCAAAAAGGTTCATAGTTTAAGTGTAAATATATCAAATAATCAGCCAAACTAGAGTATAAATGTAATACGTAGTTAAAATTAATTTGGGTCAAATAATTTGCTAAACTGTGCGAAAAGGCATTGTAAAGAAAGCTCAAACGTTATACAGTATCAGATATTAGCAGAAATTCGAATATTTCAGTATTAGTTATATATAGCGATATTGATATTGGAATTAATAAGTATACATATTGATATTTAAAATTTTCCTGATAAAAAAAAATTTCGTTATAGTCAAATTGACTGACGGTCCTAAATAGTATGTCATGTTATCGGCTAACCTGTCACAGATTTCAGAAATGCTATATTGTGTACAGTATACAAACGTTATATAAAATTTAGGCAAATACGACGTTAAAGAAGACTAGACTTCGGGCTTTTAAACTTTTAATATCGGGACCAATTCCGAATAATTTTAATATGTCGAGTCTGTGATGTCATAAATTAAAAGAACAAAGCACAATATTGTCTTTAAATAACGAAAGCAATAATCGTAATAATGATTTTTTTTAAAAAAAAATCGGGTTTAAAAAAAATAAATTATCCATCAATAAAAATGATGATACCTTCGAATGATATTAGTTCTGACGAGGAATCTACACCATCGGTTAATAATTTTTTCGACGAAAATAACACTTTTAATGAAAACTTTATTACTAATAAAGAAAAAATTTTTTTTCGATAAGAATAATTCTTTAAATGAAAGTTTTAATACCGATAATACATTCGAAGATAGATTTCCTTTTCTCAAAAAACTTATATGTAATAAAATGAAGCATAACATTCTACGCCGCCGCCATAGATAGTAAGCAAGCCTATTTTCAAAAATGGCAAATGACATTGAAACTCTGACGAAACGTTGAAACCCTGACAAAACGTGAACCTCGATGGAACTCCAATAAAGATATGCGAAACTTCGTGAAAGTTAAACATGTGATTTTTAAGTTTAATTAAGGTAAACTTGTTTTTTACATATCATTCTAATTGTTGGCTATACAATGCCAAGCAAATACTCAGGTTAAAAATACGACTTTCAATTTCAATAAAGGTAATTTTTTATGCTAATCGTTCTAATTGT